AATGGAGATCAAAACCATGCTGTACTTAACCACATGGAGGACACAGTTTGGTGTATGAGAGAGAGAGAGAGAGAGAGAGAGAGAGAGAGAGAGAGAGAGAAGCATTAGTAAAACAATGATGCCACACAGGTAAAATTGCCAAGGGAATAAGTACACCAGACAAGGGATAGCAAAGACTATAGACACAGTGAGAGGATCTTACTAGACACAGGAAGCCCAGCAAAGACTTGCCTGAAGAAATGACCTTGACGTATGAGGAAGACCCAACCACTCCAAGAATCAGGAAGGAGGAAAGGCCAGAGAGAGGAGGAGCATCCCGAAGAAGGGCTCCATTCTGGGAAAGGGACTGATGAGAAGCGAGTGGCTGCACCGGGAAGGCCAGGGGAGCTCAGGGCCAGGCAGGCTAAGGGAAGTAGTAGGCAGCCTGTCCAGGCTTGCAGGCCTCTGTTGGGGCAGTGGGAGTTGCCATGCATTTTCCACAGATGACTGTGCTGCGGCTGATCAGAATGGACTTGTGTGGGCTGGGGGAGCGGGCATGTGGGAAGCTACTACAGCAGGCCAGGCCAAGCTGATGGTGGTCAGCTCAGCTCGTGCTGGGAGTGGGAGGAGCTGGAGAGAAATGCAGATAGTAGGCAAATCCTGGGGATCTGGTAGAGGAGAGGCGAGGTGGTAGAGGCACTGGGGTGAGTCGTCCTGGGTCTCTGGCTTGCATTACTAAATGGATGTGGCGTTATGGTCCAAAGAGGGTGATGAGAGAGGTTTGGATTGGGGGGTGAGAACTGGGCCAGTGGGAGTCAGGTTGACCTTGAGGTGCCCTGCACGTGATGGCCAAATGGGATGCAGAACAGGCCACAGAAAACAAGAGTAGGGTTAGAGAAGTGTGACACAGGTCAGCGTTTGAAGTTACCTGCTGGTGGGAATTTAAGCCTGGTAGGCATGTAGGACAGGAAGCAGAGAAGGTTTACCATCAGCATGTGGGAGCCAGATTTCCAGGCTAAGGGGAGGTAGAGACTGAGGAGGAACCTGAAAATCCAGAGAGACTAACGATGGCTGTGAATGCTGGGAGAAAATTATACTTTTATAGCTATTGTTATAGTTGGGTAGAAATTGTTAGTCAAGAGCAACAACAAAAAACTTCTCATGCCTCCTTGACCTTGACTAACTTTCTAGAGTGTGAAAAACTGTGCCTGAAGGAAAGAGATGGTATTCAAAATATTGAACTAGCAAGACTTCCAGGAACTAAAGGCATCCATCTGTGGGCAGGGGACGGGGCAGATTTGAACCTGAGGCTTCCAGGCAATGAAAAAGCACAGAGGCTGATGGAGCCGCCTCTGCTTTCTGTGATTGAGAAAAACCGGCACCTGCTGCCGGGCCCCAGCCCTGCCCAAAGCCCCTCACACCAACCCCACCAGCCCCTCCCGCCACTGCCTCCCGCCTGGGGTCTTCTTAGTCTCTTTTCTTTACCACACTAGTGTATTCAGCCTTTCTTGAGATTACCTTGTCTGTTTCATTCTCCACAATCTTCCTAGTGACTAGAGTTCCTTTCTCCTGTTTGCTTTGTAGATTCTGTGCATCTTTATTTTATTGTATTTTATTTATTTTCATACCGGGAATCAAACTCAGGACCTTACGCTTGTTGATCAGGCACTTGTACCACTGGGCTATATCAACAGGCCCTGTTGTATGCATCTTTAAAGGCTCAAGTAAAACGTCACTGCCTTCAAGCCAGGAATGGTGGTGCACACCTGTAATCCCAGCACTCAGGAGGCTGAGGCAGGAAGATCACGACAAATTGAAGGCCAGTCTGAATTACCTAAGAAGACCGTTTTCAAAAAAGAACAGAAAAAGAAAAATAGTTGTTGAATGACTCTCAATATGACTGCAAGGTTAGATGGGAACCTAGTCCATCCTTGACCGCATTTGTTATTTAAAGTTTGGAGATAATGCTGCAATGTGCCACAGCATGGACGAAAGTTGAAAACATGATGCTTGGTATTAGAGGCCGTCACAAAAACCTACATCTTTTATAATTCTATTTATAGGAAATATCTGGAATGAGAAAAGCCATGGAGACAAGAAGCAGATCAGGGACTGATCAATTACTCATTAGGTCAGGGTTTATGTGTAAGGGGAGGAAAACATCCTACAGTTGGGGTTAGGGGTGTGGCTGAGTCATAAGCACTTACCTATCACACAAATCCCCAGCACTGCAAAAGATTAAAATTCTAAAATTGATTAAAACGTCACTCAATTGTGAGTATACTGAGAATCAAGTTATATACTTTATTTATTTGAAGTACCAGAAATCATACCTGAATCAGGGTCTCCATTGGGTTACATCCCTGATCCTTTTTTAATAATACTTTTATTTGGAAATAAGTTCATACTATGTAGTTCAGGGTGACCTCAGACTCCCAGCAACTTCCCTGCCTCAGCCTCCTGAGCGTTGGGATTACACGTATGCACCTCTATGCCCGACTCCTGGCCCTTTTAACTTTTATTTAATTTTTATTTTTATTTTGAAACAGGCTTTTGCTAAGATGCAAAGTTGCTTAGGCTGGGCTTGAACTGGTGATCTTCCTGCCTCAGCTTCCCAAAGTGCTGTGAGCATAGATGTGTGCCACTATGCCCAGCCAGTGTGAGTCTTTAAATGGGTGCATTATATTCGATAGAACAGTTATTTGAAAAAACACCTCAGCAACTCCTCCCATTGTCCCACTCAAAGGGCAGCTCAGGTATTTCCAGTGGGAGAAATACAGACACTGTGGGACTGAGTTGGAGGAGTATGGGGGCGTGTCATTATTGTGGGGAGCAGCTTTGGGAAAGACACCGCATCAGTGGAAATCTAGTTGAGTCCTGGGAATAAAATGGGCCCCTGAATATTTCAGGACAGGTCCTGTAAAAATGGAAACTACATCACTGAAATCAAATTACAGCAGCAGCAGAGGCCTAGGAGAACCTGAGAAGGTAGATGTGGTCCCCTCCTACAGCCTCAGCATCTTTTAGGAGAAGAGAATCACGTGCTTGTAATCCCAGAATTCGGGAGACTGAGGCAGGAAGATCGCCAAAAATTGAGGCCAGCCTGGGCTACGTCAAGGATGTAGCTTTATCTACAAAGCTGAGTGAGGCTTGGGAGATTCAGCTGGCTGGGAAACAGCCTCATTGCCCAACCTGCCGGCGGGGAGCAGGCTTCCTGTTTTCAATGTCTCAGATCCCTGATGCTAGAGCCACTCCAGTCTGAACAGGATCTTTCTTGGCCCCTGGGGGTAAATGCAGAAGCTGAGCAGCAAGTCAGTCTGGGCTGGGCCCCTGAGCTTCAAACCATGCAGTTTTCTTTTTCTATAAAGTTTCTGTTTCCAGGCAATGCAATCCTGGGATGGCAGAGAGGAAGAGGTTCCCACTTGACTCTAGGCAAATTTACTAGGTTTTGTAACAGTCACTGTTTGGGTGCTTTGGTTAGGTGCCAGGTTAGGGCTCAAAGACTTAGGACTCCTCAGGCCCCTTACCTCTCAAATCTGTGCCAGGCTGCTTTGCACACTATGTAAAGTGACATGTGACATGGAAATTAATGGTCCAGTTCTTGCCAGGCATGGTGGCACAGGCCTATAGTTCTAGCACTTGGAAGCTGAGGCAGGAGGGTCATAAGCTATGCAGCCAGACGCAGTTTCAAAAAATCAAAACCAAAATAGAAAAGAAAATTCAATATTCAAGATTCTTTATCTCCAGAGAGCCTCAGAATACCCAGATGTTGTACCCCAAAACTGCTCAAGAAGCTGACTGTTCATGCCGAGAACTCATGCTGGTCAGGTCCTCAATTTCCCAGGACCTTCATCTATTCCAAGCAATTGTCCCCAAAAGTTCCCAGGCGGTGGTGCGTGTCAGAAACAGCCAGGAAACTTTCCTAGCATCACGAGCCCCGGCACCAGCTCTGACCTGACTCACAATATCAAAAGGTGGGGCAGAGGTTTGTGTATATTTTTAAAAGTTCTCAGGTGACTCGGCTAAGAGCACTGCCAAATGCATGAACTCGAGTGGGAAATTCCAGCAAGTTGGCACCCAATTCTTCCCCCAGGGTGCCTTCTGCATCCATTCTTCAGCACTTGATATTTGCTTCAAAATGCATGGTCACCCTCATTGGGACATCAACCAGCATTCTGAGGGCCCCTCCACCCATCTTAGGGATAGCAATGGCTGGTACACTAATATGGGAAAACTCAGTGCCAGCTGCAAATGCAGAGTGGGAAGTTGTTTTCTGTTCTGTGAATGCCAAACTCAGACTAGAGTTAAGAATCAGCACATTTCACTTTTGCAAAGTGTTTTTGGTTGAGGTCAACCCAGGGGTTGTTGGGTACAGTGTGTGGTTTGATCCTAAAGAGGATGTCTGTGTACAGTTGTACAAGATGTCCACTGCACGAAGCCATCAGGCTGAGGAAAAATTGGGAGCTAAAACTCCCTGCACACCACTTACCAAGCAATGCACCCCCTGGCTCAGGGCACCTTCTTGTACCTTCTGCACGATAGAAGCCCTGCCCTGCAGCTTCCTAACCTTGACTTCCAAACCCCTGTTAAGCCCAGGGACTCAGCATTAGCACAATGAGAAAACTCAACATGGACCCACAAGCAAAGAAAGAGAACAGTTTTCTCCTATCCCTAGGGTGCTATTGATTCACACTGGTGCTCTGGATCAGCAACTGGCACTTACACAAGTCTTCTTTTTGGTCCAGGTCAGCCCAAGGATTGTCCAAAACCCAAGATATCTAGACATGCATGTCACTTTCATCATTTGTATCTATTTTCTTTCTTTCTCTCTCTCTCTCACACGTTTTGAGACAGGCCTCACTATGTTTCAAGTTGGTCTTTAACTCACTGTGTACCTCAGGGTTCCTCCTACCTCAGCCTCCCGAGTGATGGGATTACAGGTGTGCACCACCATATCTGGCTCATTTGCTTCTTTTTTATACTCTTCCCTCCCTTCCCTACAAACACCAGAGACCAAAATCTTCAGAAAAAAAATCACATTTTATTAATCACCTTTATTCATAATTATAAAAATAGATATAAATAAACATCACAGAATATAATTATTAAATATTCAGTATATAGGAGTAGCCCCTCACCTCACCCAGTGAGGATTGGATAGGTAGGCAGAACGGTCAGAAGGTCTGGCAACTGACCCAGACAGGAACATCTGTGTGAGGGTGAAACAGATACTTGGTATGGTTGTAAGTTGTACTCCACAGTGATACATCGTGGGCCCCATCATGTGGGGGACCCAAGGAGCCCCAGGTGACCCATGAGCTCCCCAGGCAGACCACTCTGGCTGGCATCACAAACCATGGTTTAGGAAAACATCAGACCTAGAGTCGGACCAGAGACCACAGCAGCTCTGACGCCTCCCTCATGGCCGGGACACAAGTACACAAACATCACGCGTATAGAAGGCTTCTGGCTCTGTTCTTGGGCTGCCAGAGCTCTTCCTTTGAGTGTCCCTGTTCCCCAAACTGCTGTGTGTGTCCCTGTTGGCCAAACTCCTCCAGGGACCTCAGCTGTCACACTTCCTAGTTGGGAAGTAACTCGTTTCCCAACTGTGGGCCTCTAGGGTCACCCCCTGCTCCTCCATGCATGGCAGGAGGCTTCCATCCAAAAAGTCAGTAACTGGTCAATGTTATGCTGAGTTGGGACCACTTCTTTGTCCTGGCCAGGGGCGTCTGGGTGGCCAGCACCCAGACTGCATCTGAGAGTAAAGCTATCATCGTCACCCTGGTGGGTGGCGCAAGCCGAGCCACCTGTGCAGAGCCCGATTTCCCGTCTTGTCCTTCGGCAGATGCAGGCAGCTCACCTGCACAAAGGGTCAGCTTGGGAACAGACAGCTGTTTCTTTCCTCCCTCCGCTCTCCAGGGGTCCTAGAGATTGAGGCTATTGTCTTCCCTGATGTGGGTATAGATCCAAGGCAGGAAGCTGGAGACCTTGGTGTAGACACCCGGCTTGTACTTCAAGGCACATCCACGGCCCCAGCTCACAATCCCGGTGAGAGTCAGGCGGTTTTGGGTGATGCAGACCAAGGGTCCTCCAGAGTCTCCCTGGGAAGCCAGAGCCACAGGACATGAGCCCCCAGAGAAGGGACCCCAATACCCTTCAGATCCCACCTCCCACCAGCCTGAGAGCAGGGAGAACTCCCCACAGCCTTTGGGATGCCCCTTTTCCTGCGACATGCAGCTTAAATTTCTCTGCAAACCCCGTCACCTGCCACCACAACTCCCACGCAGCTAGATCCTACTTCTCTCGGCCCTGGAATATGCTACACTCGGTCACCATTTCAACCAAGACGCTCTCCTACCCATGCTCCACTCCCACCTCACATTCTCTCTAATGCTATCCCTCCCTGTCCTTTTACAACTCACCCTGCATCCTGAGCACTAAGATGTGTCTACTGTTCTCTTTTTCTTATGGTTATGTTCTTTCCTTTTTTTTTTCTTTTTTTGTTTTTGTTTTTTTGGCAGGTTGTTTGTTTTTTGAGACAAGGTATGTATTTGAGACATTGCTATGTATTTCAGGCTGACCCTAAACTCACCATGTAGCCCAGGCTGGCCTTGAGCTCATAGCAATCCTCCTGCCTCAGCTTCCTGGTGCTGAAATTACAGGTGTGTGCCACCACACCAGCTTCTCCTGGTCTTAATAAATCACCCCCTCAAATCTGAAGCATCCAACACAGACTAAGATCATGTCAAACATTTGGGGAACACATAAGGGTGGCTCAAAGGCCCCAAAAGACCAGGCACCCTGAAGCTTTGTCTGGAGAGAGATTCCTCCAAGTTGGCAGGGTCAGACCCAGGAGTTCCAGGGAGGTGTGGGTGTCAGAGAGAGCTGCTTGGGATTCTTACCTGGCAGGAATCTGTTTCCCATTTGTCAGAGTCAGCAGCACACAGCATTTGAGTGGTGACTTCCGAGCCATAGTAGAGGGGCTGCTGACACAGCTGATAGGAAATCAGCTTCACAGAGGTCATTTTCAGGCGTTCTGAATAGAGATAGTCATCTAGATGGAAGAAAAAGCCAGGAGTTTGCATTAAGATTTGTCTGTCCAACACTCAGGAAGATGAAGCAGGAGGATTGTTGCAAGTTTGAGACCAGGCTAGGCTACAAAGTGAGCTCAAGGTCAGTCTGAACTGTATAGTGAGACTCTGTCTCAAAAAAGACCAAAAAAAAAAAAGATTTGTCTGTCTACAGGGACTCTGCTAGAGAGGGGAACTTACTCATTTTCCACCCAAAGCGGAGGCTTTACCCCACCCAGACCCGCTCACCTCTATTATTTACCTTTGTGGCCCACAAAGTGCTCCCCTCCTCATCTCTGGGCCCTTCTGCACCCCCATAGTGCTCCGTCCCCACAGCAGATCATGCTGCACTCACTTCCAGGCCACCACCCTCCCCCAGGTGCCCCAGCTCAGCCCCGTATATCACTTACTAGCACTCTCTTGTCCAAAGCCTGTGACTTCACAGCTTGTGCCGAAAGAGGGCTCGCTGTCCTTGGGGGGCAGGCAGATGGTCTGTATGGATGGGGACGGCTGTGCACACTGGCCTCCACTGGATCGGATCTTCAGCAGGGCTGTGGGTAGGAGAGGGGTCAGAGGGGAAGGACCACCACTTGGTCAGGTGGCCACCACCTCTGCCCTCTGACTGCTGAGGGAGTGGTTATGTCCACCCTTGGGTCAGCTAGGTCCACATACAATGGCATGCGTTATTGCTTGCCAATGAAGCTGAGATAAAATCTAACCTAAATGGGGTGTGGTGGTGCATGCCTGTCATCCCAGCTTTTAGCAGGCTGAGGCAGGAGAATTGCTGTGAGTTCGAGGCCAGCCTGGGCTGCAGAGTGGATTTAAGGCCAGGCTGAACTACAAAGACTCTGTCTCCAAAAAGCCAAAATAAAATGAAACATAATGTGGGAGGTTCCCTAGAGGAACATCTGATCTCACATATATTTCACTCATCCCCAATGGTCCCTTTGCTGCATATGGCAGAGGCTTCAAGTCCCCCACCCCTGTGACCTCTGCCAGGACTTGGTCCTTGGGTCCTTCTGGGCTCAGACTCACTCACCAATGTCATTGTGGTGTGCCAGGGTCTCGGCGCTGTAGTTTTTGTGCAGGATCAGCTGCTCTACCTCAAACTCCATCTCCCCAGGAGTGGTGGAGCTGCGCCTGGACCGGCCCAGGTAGACGATGTAGTTCTCCTTCACCTGGTGGTTGCTGTGGCAGAGGAGACCCGTCAGACAGCCTGACTGGGTGAGACCCTGCCACTCCCTTCTCCCATTGCAGAGGCCTCAAAGCAGGGCTTCTCCCAAGGGCCAGGGCCATGTGGAGAGAGGCTAACAGGGAGAATCGAGGTGGAGGCCTCTGCAGGGAAGAGGATGGGGATGTGTTTGGGCGGGGCAGGAACATCACAGGGAAGGGACAGGGGGACCTACATGAAGCAGTGGGTGGCACTGACCACCCAGCAAGGCTTGATGAGGCTGCCACCGCATACAAAGGAGACAGAGCCTCCCCGGTTCCTCTTGTAAATGGCTGCAAACCAGGGCTGGTTCTCAATGGTGGTGAAATATCCACCAACGATCTTAAAGCGGGGATTCGGTGTGGCCTTCTGGCCACACTGGAACTCCTGCTCTTCACGGGGAGGAGAGGGCCTGTTTTCTAGAGGAGAAAGAGAGGCATGTTTGGATGGAGAGGATACAGTATCCAGTTCAGGCAGGTCTCCTGTCTCATCCTTTCTGCAATGGTAGACAGCAGCACTGTGAGCGTGTCCCCTCCTACCTCACTGTCACTAGTAGTCAGTGAAACTCACCAAGAGAGCAGCTGGACACCTTGCACTTTTGTATGGACTGCGTTAGACCAATCTGTACGTAGCACCAGGGCCACCTGTGGTTGTCTGGGTTCCTGCAATATGAAAGCCAAGAATGTCCTTTTGACTTAGAACGCCTCCCTGCATTCTCCCATTCCAGGAAGATTCAAGCAGAGGCCTGGCCAGCATTCTGAGAGCAGAAGTGGACAGCAGCCAAACTCTTGGAGGGGTCATGGGAGGATTTCTGGTCCCCAGCTCCTTGCCTCACCTGCAATAATTGTGTTTCCCCAGGCCCAACTGGACAGCATCAGATCTGTGGGTGTGGAACTTTTGCGAACGGACAGAGTCAGAGTTCCAGGCCAGGCAGGGCCGTCCTCTGGTGTCAGTGTTGGCCTTTCCTCGGTAAGAGTGACCATTCCCATCGTAGCAGGTTTTTGATGCGTCTGTGAAAAATGTCAGAGGATATCAGAAAGAGATGACATGGGGGGCTGGGGATTTAGCTCAGCGGCATAAGTGCCTGTCTTGCAAGCAGGCAGTCGTGGGTTTGACCCCTGGTACTGATAAAAAGGAAAAAGACAAAAAAAAAAAAAAAAAAAAAAAAAAAAAAAAAAAAGAAAAGAAAGAGATGACATGGTTTCCAACCTGGCAGTTGACTCTGACAGAGTCTTCTACCTCCACCTTTTTTTAGACAGCACTCACTATGTAGCCCAGGTTGGCCTTGAATTAACTACGTAGTCCAAGCTGGCCTCAAAGTCATGGCAATCCTCCTGTCTCAGTTCCCTGAATGCTGGGATTACAGATGTGCACCACAGTTTCTGCCTGCTGTCTCTTCCCACCTCCCAACCCTGTCCTGGTGCTGCCCTTTCCCAGCTAGAATCTGCATCCTCATACCTATCTCACAGTGCTCCCCTTGGAATTTCTTCGGGCAGCTGCACCGCTGCATGCTGGAGAAATACTTGTAGGACACACATGTTCCTCCATTCAGACAGCCACAATTTTCTGGGGAAGATAAAGGGAAAGTAAACTGGGCTGCAGCAGGAGGCAAGGAGGCAGGCAGGCCCTGCAGGAGGGTCAGAGAGGCACTGCCCCTGAGGCTTTTTCACAGGTCTGTGCAGCCAGCTATAGTGTAAGGGGCAATGCTTACCTGCACCTGATGCTTCAATTTCACGATAGCCCTGCAAGAGATTAGGAACCGGAGTGTCACCAGATCTCCCTTGCTCCTGGGGCTCCACAATGGAGATCAATTGACCTCAAGCCCCAGCTCCTTCTGTCTTGGCCCTGTTCCTGTCTAACCACTCATCGAATGGAAAACCAGAGATTTTCAGCCGGGAGACGACTGAGTCAGGCGTGGCCCTCTGGCTAAGGATGTCCCTGCGGCTTCCAACCTTCTTGGTTCTGGAGGCCCCGAGGGCCACCCTTGCTTTACTCCTGGGGAGAGTCTGGCATTGGGGTGCAGCTGCCGCTGCTGCAGTGAGACCAGTAGTACTCCAGCTCCCCAGGCTCCTCTCCCTTTCCCGGGCGCTGTCCAGGGGTCCCGCAAACCCCAGCCTGCTACAGGCAAAGCGGGGAGACCACTCACTTCAGAGTCGCTCACGACCAGGGCGCAGAAGAGCAGGGACGCCAGCAGGACGTTCATGGTGGCTGGGCTGGGGATCGGCGCGGACACGGCTCTGCAAAGCAAGGAGAAGTCAGGGCCGACCTCGGAGGGGCGAGAAAGAGCGGAGCGGTGACTGCGGCTCTGGGGAGAAGCCCACGTCCCCTGAGGCGTCCCCAGGCTGCGCCTCCCCTCGAGGGGTCGGAGCTCCGGGTGCAGCCTGGCCAGGCACCCTCCGGGTGGGGAGGATGCCCAGGACCGGGTCCCCAGCCCGGGAGGAGAAGCGAGGCTCGCAGGAGCCGCACTCACCGGCGGCTGCAGCTCAGGGTGTGAGGGCACTGCAGGGAGGAAACACCGCGCCAGCTCTGTTGAGTCTGGAGCTGAGCAGAGCCGCGGGCGCCCGCAGTATATCAGGTCCCTCCCGCCGGCCACGCCCACCAGGCCACGCCCCTCTGGGGCCACGCCCCCGCCGTGGTTCCCGCCCCCTTCCCGGCCGGCGATCGGGATCCCACGCTTCCGCCGCTCTGACCGTTTGCTGAGATGGGTGCGGTCGGTCCCCGGAGAACCGGACCAGCGGATCTGGGCCGAGGGATTCGGAGACCTGCGGTCAGTTCTTCGCCCTTCCTCCCGTTCACCTGGCCCGGGACGCCGCGCCCTGCAGCGTCGGTCCCCCGGAATCTCAGGGGAGAGAAGCCTCCTCTCCAGCCTCCGATCAGTTCCCCACCCCGCGCACTTTGCCGCCACGACCCAGGAGAGAGATGCAGACCACGCACACAGGGGCAGCGCCCACGGCTCACAGAGTATCCGTGTCAACGTGGACACTGAATGGGCAAACTCCCTGAGATCTCGGCCCCCAAACATCTGCTAACGGGGACCTGGTGTCCCCAGGTATCACCACCCAACGTGTGAGTGGATGAGGAACTGGGCTTACTGCTCACCGTGGGAAGAGAGTTTAGTTAGTAGCTGTTATCCTACGAGCAAAGGCAAGGCTAGATTTTATTCTGAATTCAGTTTGGTCTAGGGTCGGTCTTCAAGGAGGGGAGTGCCAAAAGCCTGGTAAGAATTGTGTAGGCTACTGTAGATTTGTGGGAACACAGACCTAGGAGTGCAAACTGTTGCTGCTTCCTACTGAAGAAGTGTCAGTGGGTCTTAGGAAGTTCCTATAATGAACAGTGCATTTATTTGCCCGGGAAGTGATAATTAATAAAGAGTGGAATAATAAAACCTTGTTAATGGATCCTAAACTGTGGAGGGACAGAAAGTTCTGCTGTTACCTCAGAATAGGGAAGCTGGGGCTCTAAAGGACAAGGTAAGAGGAAGACTTATATTCCTCTCTATTCCTTTCAAACTGGTTACATTAAAAACACACACACAGGGATTGGGGATTTAGCTCAGTGGCATAAGTGCCTGCCTTGCAAGCAAGCAGTCATGAGTTCGATCCCTGGTACCGATAAAACACACACACACACACACACACACATCCCTGTTTCATCCATTCCGAAAAGATAAGTACAATTTCTTAAGTACACATTTTTTAACTTTTTTTTTTTTGTCTTTTTCATTTTTATCGGTACCAGGGATCGAACTCACGACTGCCTGCAAGGCAGGTGCTTATGCCACTGAGCTAAATCCCCAGCCCCTGAGTATCCATTTTTAAAAGCATTTAGGCTGGAGGTGTAGCCATAGTAGAGGGCCTGCTTAGCATGTGCGATGCCCAGGAAAATAACTATTTATTTACTTAATTTTTTATTTTTTGTTTTTAGAGGGACAGGCAGAAATTTCTGCCTGGATTTTTTTTTCAATCAGACTTTTTTGGGTACCTGTTTGATATAAATTGACCTTCAAAATTAAAAAAAAAATTGTACCTGTACATGATACAATTTGATTCTTTTTTCCCATTTCCCTCCCTTCAATCCTTTCTCCCCTATGAAATAATTAGATAAATGAATATATGTGTATTTAGTATTCTATTTCATCATATACACTGTTTATATTAAGATAAAAACAATTGTTTAGGCATGGTTTGGTGGTACACACCTGTAATCCCAGCAATCTAGAGGCTGAGGCAGGAAGATCACAAATTTGACCTCCACCCTGGGCAACTCAGTGATTTGGGAAGATGACTCTGACTCAAAATAAAAAGCTGAAAAGGGCTGAGGATGTGGTTCAGTGTGACAAACTTGGGTTCAGACCCCAGTACCAAGAAAACAAGAAGAAAAGAAAAAAAAAAAAGAAAGAAAATTGCTTATCAAATAAAATCATCTTCTAGAAAGATCATGTGTAAATAGCTCCTCTTGCCCTTCCTGCCTAAGGACAAGCATACGCATGTGTGTCCACTTGCACATGACCCAGGCAGAGCTGGAGGAGCACAGCAAGGACTCCAGGCTTCAGCCACTTCTGTCCCTTTTCCCCAGTGCCAGGCACTAAGGTTTGGGGTCATTTCAATGCCACCCAGAAGATTGTCTCTCTTCATAAGGGGAAGAGGCTGTGACCCCATAACACACCAGGACCCAAGCCTTGCTGACACCTGTGGCGTTGTCCTGCTTTGCAAACCTAGACCTTGGGCCTGGATCCACATTTAAGAGAGTCAGAAAGCAAGCAGAGGGAAGACACCTCTGCTGCGCCCCAGCTAGAGGTATCAGGATGGGGAAAGTGCAAGTTAACTACCCAGCTTGGAGGAGGCAGGTGAACAACCCAGCGTCCTCCAGGATGAGTGCCGTGCCTGCTCACTGGCCAACCTTTCCGGGACCACTGAGTCAGAACTTCCATAGGTCTGAGCAAGTCTTTCTACTTCCTCTAGAAGACTGTGGCCAGTTTTATTTAGATCTAAGAACCAATTAATTGTAAATAAATGTGATCAAAATGTAAACAGAAATGTTACAGCCTGAGGACTTACCCCGAAACTCTTCGATTTAGCTATTAGGAAATTCCCCAGCAGTCTGTCATGATTCACATCACTGCCCCAGCAGCTCTCATGACTCCGAATTACTTGGCTGGAGGCTGTCATGCTGATTCTTTGAGAGCAGGATGACCTCATTTCCTCCTGGACAGAGACCGTTAGGCAGTGCGACACCTTTCTGTGCCCAGCTGCCACTTCCCGCTTCTTCATTTGGGGGGCAGGCTATCCTAACCTGCAGAACTTTGGACTTCCCTGAAATCTCTGGTCATATCTTGGTGCAGTCCAGAGTTTTCATTCTTTGTGGCCAAAGTACACATCTTAGACACCTTGGGTCTCCCTCGGCACTTGCCACATGTCTTAATCATGTTGGTACTTTATGCTAAATTAATCAGTGGATGAGTAGGAGCGGAGAGTTCTGGGGAACCCAGAAGGTACCCCATTGCTCTCTATTTTTCATAAGAAGTAGCTTATTCTATTTTTTGTATGGTTCTGTCTTGTGCTTAAAGGCATTTGGAGGTCAACTACTCCTCCTTGAATTTACAACTGCCTTGTGATACAGACTGGGTTTGTTTTTCCTATTTTTCAGATGAAGAAACTGAGGTGAGGAAAAGATTTATAATAAATGACACAGCCAGCACCGAACCCCAGGGCTTCTGACCCTTGTTCCCATACTGTGTCCCTCACTGTCTCCATAGGAGACGGAATGATGTGATGAGGGCTGAGTGATGTAAGATGCTCAGGTAGGTGATGTCAGGTGTTCCAAGCCAAGTGCAGAGGTACACAACTGTACAAGGACCTGGGAGGCTGAGGCAGGAAGACCACAAGTTCGAACCCAGCCTTGGAAATTTAGCAAGATGTGTCTCAAAATAAAATTTTAAAAGAACTGGAGATGTAGCCAACGATAGCACGCTTGCCTAGCATGCATAAAGTGTGCGTTCAATTCACAGTGCTGAAAAAAGCAAATGTTCCAGCTCTTTTAGTTTCTGCCACCAGCTTTAGAGAACTCCTTGTAGAACCACTGCTCTAAGACCCCAGTTAGTCACTTGCTGAATTCCAGGAACCTTCTCTGTGGTCTAGATTAGCTGAAGTTTCTGCTGAAGATGTAAGAAAAAGAACTGATACGTGTAACTCCCTTGTTCCTCTGGTTTAAGAAAAAAGCCACCATCCCTGCATGTGTGTCTCAGAGATCCAGATCTCCTGAGTTACCTGTGGCCATAGAGATGATAGAGTATCCCCTATATAGGAGTTGCTTCAAAAAGGGAGGCAGAAAGCTGGGTGTGGTGGCACACACCTGTAATCCCAGCACTCAGGAGGCTGAGACAGTAGGATCACTGCAAGTTCGAGACCAGCCTGAGCTACAAAGTGACTTCAAGGCCAGTTTGAAGTGAGACCCTCTCTCAAAAAAAAAAAAAAAAAAAAAAAAAAAAAAAACCCAAAACAAAAAAGGCAGAGTGGCCTCTAACTGTGCAGAAAAAATCAGTGTCTAAACCAGGCCTTGGCACTACATCCAGGAAGCCAGGCCCCAAAGGCTATTTTCTCTGCAGCTACACCTAAGAGAAGTTCATGTTGAGTCACAGGATATATTCCTGAATAGCTTCTCTGATATTCACCGTGGTTCTACAGAAAGACAAATCCTAGCTGAATGATCAGACACTTAATGTTTCTGAACTTAGCTCCCCTGTCTGCAAAACACAGCAATACCTGCCCTGCCTGTGCCTCGTTTTGCACATTGACTAGGTCATGCTCCTGTGTAAAAGTGTTCATTCTTTCTTCCTGCCCAGTATTTATGATGGGCCATCTATGCGCCAGGTACAGTGCTTGATGCTAGAGAGGTGGGAGAATGGATTTTGTAGACTATAACTCCTAGCCTGAGTGCATCCCTTCTCTTCCTGACTCTGGCTGTACTGGCTGGAAGATCAGGTCTTACTGGACTCCATTCTGGGATTCCAGTTAAGTAGGATACTAGATCTTTGGCCCACAGTTCCCAGAGATTGAGCAGCTGCAACACACAGCTGCAAGTACTGTGCCCCCACCCCCGCCCCAGCCCTGCCTCCCACTCGCCACCCTCAATTTCGGCTCTTTGTGACCTGAGCTCTTCTTGTCTTCCTAATGTGTGACAGACTCCCCACAATTCTCAGAGTGGGCACAGAACACCCATTACACAATTTCCTTGGGTCTTAGGACCCCCTCCTCCTGTTCAAGGTGACACTGGGCCTGGGAAAAAAGCCACATCCAGCCTGTAATGTGATAGGGGAGGAACTGGGATGTGGGGGTGCTGTGGAGGGGGTGGAGGGAAGCCACATACTTATGCCCTTACTCATGGAAAGCAAAGGCCCCCCCGGAGGCTGAACCCTGAGGTTAGACTGTGTCATCAACACTGTGAAGTTCTGGCCGCAACAGTTCCTCCACTCTGAACCCCTAATTCCCCCAAGGGTTCAGTCTCACCATCCCTGGCTAGATTTCTAGCCTCACCCAGGCCAGTCAGCCCAGACCTCTGCCTGAATGTCTTGAGAGACATTCATTGGCCAATTTTTCACAATGGGC